AACTGTATAGAGACAGGAAATGAGGGAGATGGTCAAATAAATATACACTTCTTGTTCAATAGTTGTTCTGGTTTTATTTCTGGTACTATGATAAAACCCTCTGACCAATGGGCAACTTAGGTCATAGAGGTTATGGGTTATTTGGCTTTTACTTCCAAGTCACTGAATTGAGAGACGTCAGTGGAGAAATTTAAGAAGGAATAGTATGCAAAATCATGGAGGAATTCTGCTTCTTGAATACTCCCAAGCTCAGCTAGCTTTATTATGTATTCCAGGACAATCATTCTAGGACATGTGTGTTCAAAAAAGGAAAAGCCCTTAACCTTGCAGGTAAAGGATTCTACTTGCAGTTAAGATAGGAAAACTATAAGTTCATGTTCTGTGTTTGTTTGATCCATCTGCACTTAATATGATCACATGTGCACAGGAATTTCATGAGCAGGAAATACTTCCCATGACTGGATGTAGATGGGAGGAACATAGGAAGGTAATATGTAAAGGATACATGCTTGTCTCTGACTGGACCTGATGGGAAATGCCAAGAATTATGGACTTTGCCATTTTCAGCCTCTGCAAAACATGACTCCTGACCATTTCCTGGAAACCCAGAGATAGAATTGGCCAGAGTCTATCAACCTGACCAGTATTTAATTAAAGCTTGCTTCAAATTTGTGGAACTGGGTTTTCTTTCACAAATCTCAGGTTATCACTATCCACGGTGTTCTGGAGCTCACACATCACTTAAGATAAGCATGGTAATCTCCTATGTGTACAAAGACCACCACGATAAACTATTTTACTTATACTCAGTTACACCTTCCCCTCCCCAGGTGATTCCAGGCTTTGTCAAGTTGACATTTAATGGTAATCAGGACAACAGCATTTCTAGATAGAGTAAAGTGTAGAACAAAATTAAAATTAAGAACTGATAAGAAGATGGCGACTATTGGCAACAATATGCATTGTCAAAGGACAGCTATTCCAAATAAACCAAAGAAGGCATGAGAAAAATACTGAATGTTTCACAGTAAAACTATATATTAAAATTTAATATATAATAAAACATTGTTGGGAAACTGAGTTTCTTGAGTACTTATTAAGAAAATAATTTTTAAAAAGATGCAGCAGGAATTGGCAGGTTGGTGTCATAAGTTTGAGAGAAAAATAACAAAGCAGGATATCTGTAAGTCTTGGCAGGTGCCAGGACAAGGGAGATGGGGAAGACAAACAGAGGAAAGTCAGGCCTTTGGATGTCAGCAAGCACCTGCATTGCAGAAGATGATGCAATAGCTTCTGTCAAAGGATTGAGAAAGCCAGGATGCCAAAGAAACAATGCTTTGAGCCAATACACAAAAAAGAAAGAAAATGAAAAAGAAAGAATGAAAGTTACACTTCAAAATAAAATGCAACACTCAATCTTAAAGGCAAAATTGAAGATTAAAGGGTTAAAATATATGATATTAAGTACCACCACAGTCTCTGAAAAACAAGCACACACATGTATATGTTCTCTCTCACATGTAGAATCTATTTGATACTGAAAGTGTAAAGCTTAATGTGATGCTCCCTGGCTGCAGGTCTGATTTCCCATTCTAACTGTAAAAAGTTCATCAGGTTATACAAACTGCATCTGACTGTTTTGGTGTACAAATTTTATTTACTTGGGGAGATTTTTATAAGAAATCTTATTTCTTTATCTTTTTTTATATTGTGCAGTCTTAGGAATGCTGCATGGTGGAAGTCTTGCAAATATCTTCTACAAGGGATGAGCTTCTAAAAATGGAAGTATGTTATTTTATTAAGGAAAATATTAGGCTTTTTTTCTTCTTGGATAGACTTTACATAGATGTTATTTACTCTTGTATGGTTATGCTTGGGTGAGTGTCAAGATGATTGACAGACCAGATATTAACACTTAAAAGGTGAAAACAATTGTAGAAGGAAGTTTCTGTCCCACCAGCACCTCCCAAATAAACATACAGAGTCTTGTATTAACTACAAATACTTGGCCTGTAAGTCAGGCTTATTACTAACTGGCTCTTGCATTTTAAATTAACCCATATTCCTTATTTATATTCTGCCACATTGCAGTATACTTAGTGTGGCACATTCATCTCCTGTTCTCTCTGTGTCTGTCTGGCAACTCCAGACTCTGCATTCCTTCCTCTCAGCATTCTTCTAGTCTGGCTCTCCTGCCTAACCTTATTCTGACATATATTAACACAGTGTAGAGGAATATTCTACAGAATACAAAAATAAGTAATGCTCTATTTCACTACCCAGGAATGATGGAGAACATTGATTTTATTCTTTGGATCAGGAAAAAGTAGCTTTGTCTTAATGATCCCCAGTAAAGCTAGTACATCACTTCATGTAGTCATTTAAATCTTAAAGGGAGGTTTCATTTCCAGTGTCACCAATTAAATAACAAATGGGTTTGGGGGGGTGATCTTTGCTCAATGGCCTCCAAGGATGATAATCCATGTAGTGATAATATACAAAGTTCAAAAATGATGATAAATAATAAAATAAAATGTATATGTGAAATGCTGCCAAACTAAGCAATGTATATGTTTCTTGTAAATTAATATGGCAAATGTGAGTGCTCAAATAATAATTTAAAGAGACATAAAAATTTAAAAGCCACACTGAAAAACAATAAACTTATCATTCACCTTACCTTATAAAAGTAATAAACCTTCATTCAAAAGAAGTGAAAAAATCATAACTTCTATATCCAATGGAAAATAATGCATTCTCCCTTTTGGAAAGGAGATGTGACGTTGTCTGATGTGGTAAGAGTATGATGCCAATATTACATAACAGAAGCTGAGACTGTTAAGTGAGTTTAAAATTAAAAATGAATTCCATTATTAAACAGTTACATCTTTAAATCATTGTTTATAATTTTATATTAATTAACTAGAAGAAACATATAAACAACTTAAAAATCTTTATTTTGATAAACATTTAAAGTCACACAAAAAATGATTAAAGTACAAAATCAAGATAATATGTGGGCATAATTATAATTTTATCCAGGAGGTAAGGGTGGGCTACTAAAGTCATCATTAGAAATAAAATTTTCTAAGTTTAAGTATCTGCTTACTTACTTGAATTTAAGTATTTGCAATCTCTCTGATTTTTAAATTGTCTATATTTCTACTCATTTGGGGATTTCTTTTTTTTTTTGGTTTTGGTTTTGTTTGTTTGTTTGTTTATTTGTTTGTTTTGCGAGACAGGATTTCTCTGTGGCTTTGGAGGCTATTCATTTGTTTTCAACTGTTGCAAAAAAGAAAAATGAAAGATATAATCCAAAAATGATGTGGCTGGGAAAATATCAATAAATTTCTGTAAGTATCTACACTTACTTACTCGGCCAAGATTACTTGATATGGCTGATGAGAAATGTATCTTATCCAGGCATGTATTGGAAGGGTTACAGCAAGACCTAGGCTGTGAGAAATTTATTCTTTTTCTTTTTTTTTTTTCTGTTGTGGTTTTTTTTTTACTTTTTTTTATTTGAATTGCAAACAAGATTGAATTACATGAGAAGTTTATTCTTAAGCAATCAGATTTTTGATATCCTTGTCAGAAACAGAATACAATGGAGGTTGCCAGAATCAATAAGTTGGTAGTTAGCAGGATACAATGATGTTTGCAAGCTCTACAGGGTGCACAAAATTAAAGTCTAAGACTAATTGTCCTGTTAAGCCTCTATATGCTTCCAGGAAACACAGAGAAACAGGTAGTCAGAATGCTTCACTGCCTGAAAGAGTTTCTTGGTTTCTCAGGAACTAAATGTCACATTGTACCTCAGGAGCTGAAAAACCTATGACACAAGCTTCTCAAGGCAGCTACATCAGGCCAAGTCCAGGAATCCCTAAAAATTTCATGAAGAATTTTTTATGTAACATCAATAAAAATTTATAAACACCAATAAAAGTATTACCAGTGTATTATAGAAACAAGCATTCTGCTGTTATGGAAGATTAGGGTAATCCTGTAAGAAGTATATATACTTCCTTTAAAGATAAATTTTAACACAGAGAAAATAAATTCCAGTTATTTCACCAGAATACATGTATTCAACTGAGTAGAAAATATGAAATATGAAATGAGTAGTAAATTGTTCTTGTTGGGGCCAGGAAAATGGCTGATGGGCAAAATGCTTGCCATACAATCAGGAACATCTATATTTGGGTGTCCGGTACCCATCTAAAAACCCAGACATGGCAGTGATCACTGGCATTCCTAAAAGTGGAAAGGCTAACACACGAGGATCTATGGGACTCAGGACCTCTCAAGTCTAGCTAAATGACAATCCCTGTGTTCAGTGAGAAACTTTGTGCCACAAAAACTATGGTAGAGAGTGATTTAACATGCATGACCACTTATTTCTGCCCTCCACTCAACCTACCACAGAATGCACTTACTTACACCTCACACACATATAACACGCAAACACACACACGCACACACGCACACGCATATTTCACTTATAAAATCACCAAAGACAAAGAAATAGTATAGATTATAATTCATGGTATATTGAAACGCATATTTCACTTATAAAATCACCAAAGACAAAGAAATAGTATAGATTTTAATTCATGATATATTGAAATATATATATATTTTAAATCATATTGCTAGGAAGTTATATAAAAAACATATTTACTAGGAATGTTATAAAACATCAACTATCAAAACTTTGACTGAAAACTTTCTTTTATCATGAGTAAATAAAAAAGTATTGTCATGAGACACAGAACTGGGAAAAGGGAGGCCGAGGAGGAGGAGGCAGCTCTGGACGAGCTACTGAGCAGTGGGGGCTGGGCCGCATGGGGAGGACAGGAGCCCGCTGCCATGGCAGCTGCACTTTCGTCTGGCCTGCTAGTCAAGCAGTAGAGCACATCCCGACTCCAGAGTCGTGCCCAACCTCCGCAAGGGCTGGCCCTTCGGAAGGCTCTCTCAACAGCAGGAGCAGGCCGGCCACCATGACCAATAACTCCATGTCCACCCCTGCGTTGAAGCCCAAACGGGCCAAGGCCTCCAAGAAGTCCACGGACCACCCCAACTATTCAGATATGATCGTGGCTGCCATCCAGGCAGAGAAGAACCGCGCCAGCTCCTTGCGCCAGTCCATCCAAAAGTATATCAAGAGCCACTACAAGGTGGGTAAGAACGCTGACTCCCAGATCAAGTTGTCCATCAAGCGCCTGGTGACCACCTGTGTTCTCAAGCAAACCAAAAGGGTGGGTGCCTCGGGGACTTTCAGGCTGGCCAAGGGTGATGAGTCCAAGAGGTCGGTGGCTTTCAAGAAGACCAAGAAGGAAGTCAAGAAAGTGGCCAATCCGAAGAAGGCAGCTAAGCCCAAGAAGGCTGCCGCCAAAGCTCTAAGCAAGAAACGCAAAGCCACCCCTGTCAAGAAGGCCAAGAAGAAGCCGGCTGCCATGCCCAAGAAAGCCAAAAAGCCCAAGATTGTCAAAGCCAATCGGACAAGACAACCAAACCCAAGAAGGCCAAACCAGTGAAGCCCAAAGCCAAGTTCAGTGCCAAGAGGGCCAGCAAGAGGAAGTGACAATGAAGGCTTTGCTTGTGACACACCTTCCTCCCTCCTGTTTTCTGTAAATACATTTCTCTCTTGATCTCATCTGCAACGGATCTCCTCTGCAACCCTTTGCCCATTTTATTCTGACTTTACAGAAAGGACAGAGTTTGGATTCCTCAGACAGACATTGTGGAGCGATTCCCTTTTCCTTAACCCATTGTGCAAGGAAAGCCTCAGACCTCATCTTTGTAATGATGAAGATGTACTTTTTTTCTTAATTTGATATTTAACCTTATGGGGTTAGGGTTGGGGTGGGTTTTTGTTGGGAGGTTTGTTTACTGTGAAGGCAAATGGAACCGGTAAAGTTCTGGCTAGATGAGGGGACCTAGGAAATGAAGTTTGTCTTTTTAAGGCTGTAAATTGCTCATCCATCCCTTGTGAGAGCTTCAAAACCTTTGGTGCAAAGCAGAGGATGACACCCCACCTAGCTGGCCAGGGAGGGGAAAATCGCTGGGCTTCCCTCAGCAGTGGTGAGCAGTTGGGGACCTGGGGTTTCTTTTCATATATGCCCTAGTGCGTCCCCCTTGCCTAAAAGGGGAAAGGGGTCCAAGTGACAGCTGGTTAGAGAAACCATTGCTTCTCACAATCAGGATCTAGCCATTGGGGAAGGGGGGGGGTCTTTTCAGCAGTCTCTTGTTAAATGGGAGTGGACTTAGGGGAGGGTGGGGAGTCAGCCAAGTGCCTCAGTGTGCCTGTGGAAACTTGGGTTTTTTCCACACGATTGTTGAGAGCTGTGTCCTAGGAGAACTTTCTTCTTTTCTTTTTCCTTCCTGTATAAGATGTGGCTTTGCTTGGTGCTGCTTCAGTTCTACCAGCTGCCACGTAAAACCCCTCCAACCGCTTTTACTTTAGAATCTTTTCTAAGTAGCCGAGGAGGGGGAGAGGCAGGGAGTGGACTGTAAGACAATACAGTTGATTTTAATTTGCTAGGTAGCTTTAGAGAGCCAGGATTGTGTGCATGTGTGTATATGTATATATCCATATCTAAGACTAGTAATTAGTCTCACTTCGGGAGATGGGAGAAAGAAAAAAAAACTGTACAGTTGTCTTTCTCTTATTTTAATTGTGGGGGACCAAATATCTTGGCTTCCAGGTTCAGGCCACCATATCAGCAGTGGCTCACCAGGAAACTCCAGCCCACTATTGTATTGTTAATGTCAGCAGGGGTACTTTTGTTTACCATGGTCTGAGGGTAATATGCCTCTTATTTGCATCTGTATGTGCCTAAGCATCTGCATAGGCCCTCACCTGGGTGGAGCAAAGCAGGCGAGCAGTGGCAAGAGGAGAACAAAGGGAGAAATGGTAGTATTAGCAGGATGGTTAAGAGACACCAGAAAAGATGGCTAATAAAGAAATGTCTCTAGTTCCACAACATGGAACTGAGAGTTCTCTGAAGATGACAAGATGCCTGTGTTTGGTCTTTGTCGATGTTGGGTTACTCGAAGTTTCCAGGTCCACACACCCCCACTCAGGTAGAACCTCATGGCTGTCGTGGTCTAAGGCTGAGACATGCTGGGTCACGACACTTTCTCTTATTTTAATAAAATAGGAAACTCGAGTCCCTTCCCCTTTTTAAACAAGTGTTATAATTGCTGGGAAAAGTTGCTGTGGTTGTAATTTTAAACTTTTAAAATAATAAAACTGTTAAAAAAAAGTTATGTCATTAAATCACCATAAACACCTTAATTTTATGTTTAATAAGAATATGGCCAAAACCCAGGATGAGGAGCAAATGGTAATAGTTAAGTAATTGTATCAGAGAAAAGCTTGATAACATATGCATGGTCCTGGATTTGATCTCAAACATTGAAGAAAAGGAAAGAAAGAAAAATAAGAAGACAATCTTGAACACAGAGGTTTTATGTATTTAATTTTTTACTACTTAGTTGATATTTCCAATTAAACTGTTAGCAAAGGTGATTACTGTCAGGTCCAAAGGAAACTCCATTTCCCCAAATTCAGTTAGTAAGACAAAAGTCACCATTCTTCAGGAACTCATGATGCTGGTTCCTCCCTCTAACAAAGGAGCCATTTCCCTTACAACTGGCAGAATGGATGAATGGCTATCTCTGGTGTGTTTTAGGATACCCAAGTGCATACTTTCATCCAGACTCCCTCAGAAGAACAGGTACCTGTTACACATTTCAGAGTCTATGGTGGCATCTGGGCTCTTCTCTCCTAACACTCCTCTAAAGTTCTTCCAGGTTAGGAGATTCCTTCTCCTAGCTATTCATTCTTTCTTATAACCCTGCTACTTCAGATATGCCCCCTGCTCTTTCTCTCCTCTTTTATGCACACTCGCTTAACTCTCTTTGCTCCCCCCACCTCTCTTTCCCTCTCTCTATGTACACTGCTCCTGCTTGTCTCATGGCCAAGTACAGTAGACTTCTGGCCATGTTTAGCCTACTAGTTTCTCTGCCTGATTAAAACTTGTCCAGATGTTTCAGGTGTTCTCTCCTTCATATCTACCAAACAAACCTTCCTCTTAATCATACTTTGGAGCAATCATGTCACAAGTTTATACAATTATGTTTGATCCATTAATAAGGTTGAAATATGGAACTGTGCCTTTGCTCTTCCTCTATTATCCAAAACATTATTTTCTTTTCCAGCGAGAGTGTCAACTCTGATTTCAGAAATAGACAAGCACAATTACTTCATAGATCTTTCTTTTTTGGTTGCATAATTTACAAATTTGAAATCATGTAGTTGTCCTAAGTGTAATCAGGTTCATTCTGGCTGCCTAATTCCCTATACAAAGAAGAAAAATGCAAGGTGTAAAGTAATCAATTTCCTGGGTAGAAGGCATTGATGGATGCGCAAATGTGAGTGTCCTAGTGAAACGACCTGTAATGCTGGGCTAATGCTTTTACAGAAGCAAGCGCAGCTGGCTGTAAGCTTGCAGTGCTGATGGAGAATCTGAGAAGCAATCTTCGTGTCTGGAAGAACTCTCTTCCCAGTTCCTTCTCAACACTCGGAACTTATACTCTCAGCAGGAATCCCATTATGTGTCTGGAAATGGTTCAGCACTTATAATTCTCCCCTGCTACTTTCATTTAAAGCTGAGTGAAAGCATTGCTCTTCTTCTCTTTGCTTTTGACTGAGAGCTAAACCTTCTCTCACCTGACTCCAGAGATGATATTTCTTTTTGTAAGACACTCCCTGAAGACAATGGAGCAGCTGTTTGAGTAAAATGCTTAGCTCATGGTCACTCATTCTCACTGAGTGAATGTGCCCAGCCAAGCAAAACCTGCTGAAGAATGTGAATCACCAGGAACTTGGAGGAAGCACTTGCTCAGTCTCACATCACTTCAGTTTTCCTCTTCCTCAATACCATGCTGCTAATTTTACACACAAAGATGCTTTCTTTCCAAAAATGCCAGTGAAATACCCAGCTTTCACTGTAAACAATAGATGAATTGAGCCATAGCTTGTAGATAAATTTCATAAAAGTAAAGCTAACCAAAGAAAAGCAGTCTGTATACAATGTTGTGTTTGCCTAATGCTCCTCTCAAGCAGTGACACTGACAGGACAACAAGTCAACAAGAAGTCTTCAGGCATGAATGTGTACTGTAAGCTAGATTCATTTGTCATTGCTCTCTCTCTCTCTCTCTCTCTCTCTCTCTCTCTCTCTGTGTGTGTGTGTGTGTGTGTGTGTGTGTGTGTGTGTGTGTGTGTGGTGGGAGATGATAATCTAGTTTCATTTTTCTACATGTCACCACCTAATTTTCCAAAGACAAACTTTTAAAGATGCTGATATACTATCTGTATTTATTTTTGGAACATTTTTTCAGGATTTTTTTTAATTATTTCAAATTAGGAAGAAGCTTGTTTCACATGCCAATCCCTTCTCCTCTCCCTCTCCCTCTCCTCACCCCCATCATACCTCCCCAACTCCTGACCTACCCACCATCCCATCCACCCTCCACTCCCCAGGCAGGGTGGGCCCTCAACCAGGGCTTGGAAAAGTCCACCACATCATCCTGGGCTGAAACTGGTCCCTTCCCCATGTGTTCAGGAAAGTGCACATCCCTTCACGTGGAATGGGCTCTCAAAATCCCTTCTTATACCAGGGAAAAATACTAATCTACTACCAGGGGCCCCCTAGAGTGCAGAGACCTCCTCCTTGACATCCATGTTCAGGGGTCTAGACCAGTCCTGTACTGGCCTCCCAGACAGCATCTGCGGTCAATGTGTGCTCCTCCTCGTTCAGGCCAGCTGTTTCTGTGGGTTTCTCCAACCTGGTACCGACCCCTTCAATCCTCCTTCCTCCCTCTCTTCAACTAAGTTCCAGAGTTGAGCTCACAGTATATCTGTGGATGTGTCTCTCTGCTTCCATCAGCCACTGGATGAGGACTCGAGGATGGCATAAAAAGTATTCATCAATCTCATTTTAGGGGAAGGGTGTTTAGGTTATCCTCTCCTCCATTGCCTGGATTGTCAGTTCATGTCATCCTTGTAGGTCTCTAAAAATCTCCCTAGTGCCAGATCTCTCCTCAGACCTATAATGGCTCCCTGTAATATGGTATCTCTCATCCTGCTCTCTCTCCTCTATTCATTCCCCAACTCAATATTTCTTCTCCTCCATTTCTTCTCCTCCTCTCCTCTTCTCCTGCTCTCAATCTTGCATCTCCCTCCCCCGCAACCTCATGCTCCCAGTTAGTTCCTGCCTCTTCCCATTCCAGGGGTCCATGCATTTATCCCTTAGAGTCCTTCATGTTTCCTATCAATCAATGCCCAAAGAAACTGCACAGACAATTCTCAAAGACAATTTCTTTCCAATAAAATCATGAAGAAAATACTCAATGCTTTTACCTATGAAATGTGTGCTATTAAAATAAATGCAGTGTTAATATCCCAATTAACCCCAAGCAGAATGGCTATCATCATGAAAAAATTAACAAAAATATAATAAATGTTGG